CGGCGGCCGGTGCGCAGCTGAGCGGCCGGGGCGCCGCTGCTCCGTGTCCCCTTCCGAGCGCCCGGCCAGTGCGCACTGGCTCGGCCGGGTCCTCTCCTCCCCCTTCCGCCGCCCGCGGCTCCCTCCCTCCTTCCTCCTCTGCCCGGCGAGCCCCGCGAGCCCAGGCCGAGCCCTGGAGCGGAGTTGATCTGGGCGTGGGCCGCGGCCGGGCGGGGCCGGGTCCCCGGAACTCTGCGCAGCGCCGGAGGCGCCCGGAGCCCCGACGGGGCGGGTGGCGCGTGCCCCGCTGGGCGCCCGGCTCCCTGGGTGTCGCGGACGCAGCCCGCGGGCGCTCGAGCAGGGGCCCCACGGCGAGATCCTCGGGACCCCAGACCTGCTGTCCGCCCCGGAACGGCGCTGCTCTCAACCTTAGTGAATACACTACGGTTAGCCGTGATCAATTTCACCTTAGGACGTGTTTTCCCTTCAATAGCCCCTAAAATCCAGGCTTCAAAAGAAGAGCGCAGCCTTGATGCCTACTAAGTGGTTCTTGAGGGCCTGTTTATAAGAAGACCTGCAGCTTCTTCCAGCTTTAAAAAAAAAAAAAAAAAAAAAAAACAACGTACCTGGTCAGGTTCGGTGGCTGCTCACGGCCAGGCCTGGTCCGAGCCTTTGGAAGACTAAAGCAAGGGATCCCCACAGCACCTTCTTTTAAACCTTCATGTTACTTCTTTGGTTTTATGTGTCAGAGCGTTTTGCCTGAATGTACGTGCACCTCGCATTCCATGCCAGGTGCCGCATGAGGCTTCGGATTCCCTGGAACTGGAGTTACAGACAGCTGTGAGCTGGGAATCAAACCCTGTCCTCGGTAAGAACGACTGTTCGTCACTGCCGAGCTGTCTCTCTGGCTGTGACATGAAATTTTTAAAAATGATCTCTTGATTTTATGTGCGTTGGTGTTTTGCCTGCGTGCGTGTCTGTGTGAGGGCGTCGCGTCCGCTGGAACTGCAGTTGCAGTGGTACTGAGCTGCCAGGTGGGTCCTGAGGAATTGAACCCGGGTCTTCTGGAAGGGCCGCCGAGGATCGCTCTAACCCTGTGATAGGCGTTTTTATGCCGTCACTAAAGCCGTGGCAGGGGCTTGCTTCACCTGTGTAATCAAGCCCCAGTTCTGTGCCGGTGGCCTGGGGAAGAGACCGCTACTCTAGTGAGCAGTTTGGTTCCGGAGCGTGTCTCTGTGGAGAGGTGGAGAGACGGAGGATGGTTTCCAGCCGGTCTGTCCGCTGGCTCCTTGCACGGAGACCCCACCCTACCCGCCACAGATTATACACCACAAAAACCTGGCTGTCCCTACACTGTCCCCTTCACGCTGCTCTGTCTCCCCTCACATCCTTCCCAAAGTCTTCTGCCCTCCCACACCTCTGGGTGAATCGCCCCTTTTCTTTATCTCTCTCTCTCTTTTTTTAAAAATGCTTTCCCATGGTCCCCGCCAGATATTTTGTTTGTTGTTTGTTTTTTTCAAGACAGGGTTTCTTTGTGTAGCCCTGGCTGTCCTGGGACTTATTTTTAATTTTTTGAGACACTATCTCAATATATGGCCCAGCCCAATTCCAAACTCAAAGCCATCCTCCTGAGGTCTGGATTTACAGGTGTGAGCCACCGCCCTCAGCTCCAGCAGACTTTATAAGCACTTGGTCTGGATGAGTGAAGTTAACTGTAAGGAAAGGAAGAGAGAGAGAAAAGGAAAACAACAGTGGAGTTTTGCGGGCAGAGGCTGGATAATGAGGGCCTGAGAAACCCAGATAAGGAGGAACACAAAAGCAAAAACGGAGAGAGGAGAAACTCGGCCTCAGCCGCACCAGGATGATGTTCCCCACACACCCTTGGCTGGACCAGGAGATTACCATCACCATGCCTTTCCAACCCATCCCCCACCCGGAGTGGTACTGCCATGCCCACAGTGCCCCAAGTCTGCCCTGCCTGTGGTGACTCACTTCCTCTGAATAGGCTGCTGAGGTGTCCCAAGGCAGTGAACGGCCCATGGGACCTGGGTTTAGGTATCTGCACAAGCTTCTGGGAAGAGAGACACATGCAACCTACTGACAAAGAGCAGGTCATAAAACACGGAAGCCTGCCCTTCACAACACAGCGAGGGCAACAGAGTAAGACCCAATTTTACACACACACACACACACACACACACACACACACACACATCCCAAACCCATAAATAAATTATAAATAAATAAATGTTGGAGAGGGGCCAGGGAGAAGGCCCTAAAAGAGAAGAAGTAAATAAAAGAACGAGAAGCAACACAGGGCCAGAGGGTTTGAAGTCAGCAGTTAAGGCACCAGACGACACTGCTGTGTCTGGCATCCCAGTAACGGACACCCACGCCATATACACCTCATCAAGAGATTTTAAACAGTTAGAGGCAGCCAGGAGATGGTGGCTCATGCCCTTAATCCCAGCACTTGGGAGGCAGAGACAAGCGGATCTCTGTGAGTTCAAGGCCAGCCTGGTCCACAGCGTTCCAGGACAGCCAGGGCTACACATAGAGAAACCCTGACTCGAAAAACCAAAAGGAAGAAAAGAAAACATTAGCGGCATCGAAACACCTGGCTGCTGGTTCAGACTGCACGGGTGTGGGAAGCCCCTACCCTCCTCAAATCCATAAGAAGGTGCAAAGTTGTGAGTCCTCTCTGAGGTGTCCTCCAAGTTTCTAAAAAGTAGAGCATGGGCATTACAGGCGAGTAGTAAACCTGAAAACGGCCTGTCTGTTCCTAGTGTTAGACAAGACAAAACTCATGAAAGTGGAGAACTTCCACCCACGTTTCAGCAGAGCCACTGTGGAGGCAGCACTCACTCCTCGCTCATGGGCAGGGCTTTGCTTCCGCCACGTTCTTGCCAGGGGTCCCTTGGGAAGCTTTGGGCAGGGCAAACAGGTGCCCCCCCCTCCCCTTTCACCATATGTGGAACATGGAGCCAGAATCAATTCGGAAAAAGAGTCAGAAGGCTGGGCCAAGAGGGCCCTGTGCTACATTGCTGTCCTCAGCATACTGAGGCAAAGTCTAGAGCGCGTCCTCAGAGGTCACCCCGTCTGCCGGCGGTGAGTAGTTATCCGGAGACCCCTTGTTACCTTAGCTGCCCACCAAGTCCACCCAGGAACCTGACGTTCTATGGAAGGATGCCGAACTCACGTCCAGTGGATTATGAGAGCCCCTTGATAGGTAAAGGGGCGGCAGGGACTTCAAGCAGCCCTAGGTGCTTTAATACTATTCTCAGTGGTTGCTTGTGCCCTCTTGTGGCATAACTGGGGAATGGCGGCAAAGACGTTGAAGCCCGCCAAGATTGAGTTTCACAATCTAGAAGCAACACAACAGTTACTAGTACAAAGGAAGATTCTAACTTGCCATATATTAACATCTTCACATGCATGCTTAGTATTCTTTGGGGAGTATTTTTCTAATTATTTCATATGTATTTGGAGGTGGGCTGCTAAGGATAGAACCTGAGCCTCATCCTTAGAGGCAAGAGCTCTGCCCCTGAACTACACCTCCATCCTGCTATATATTTATCTAATTCTTACACCAATCTTTTCCCTAAGCAATGCTTGTGTATGTTTGAAAGAAAATGGTTCCCATAGGCTCATAGGGAGCGGCACTATTTGGAAGAGGTATGTCACTACAGAGTGGGCTTTGAGGTCTTAAAAGTTCAAGCCAGGCCCAGAGACCCACAAAGTCTTTTCCTGCTGTCTGCGGATCTAGCTGTAGAACTCGCAACTCGATGTCTGCCTGCATGCTGCCATGATGATAACGGACTCAACCTCTAAACTGTGAGCCAGCCTCGATTGTATGTTTTCCTTTGTAAGAGTTGCCATGGTCACAGAGAGCAATAGAAACCCTAACGAAGACAACACTCCTGTTTTGTTTTTAAGATCTTCCATTCTGGTTTATGTGCATGAGTGTTTCCCCTGTATGCATGTGTAAGAGCTTTGTGTGATTGCTCGGTGCCTGAAAAAGCCAGAAGGCCCCAGATCTCCTGGTCCTAGAGTTGTGGATGACTTATAAATCACTGTATAGGTGCTGGAGACCGAGCCCAGGTCCTCCGGAAGTGTTCTCTTTTTATTATTTATTTGTTTGTTTATTTATTTATTTAAAGATTTATTTATTTTATTATGTATACAATGTTCTACCTGCATGTACACCTGAATGCCAGAAGAGAGCACAAGATCACATTATAGATGGTTGTGAGCCACCATGTGGTTGCTGGGAATTGAACTCAGGACCTCTGGAAGAGCAAGCAGTGCTCTTAACCTCTGAGCCATCTCTCCAGCCCTATTTCTTATTTTTTTTTGAGACAGGGTTTTTGTGTGTGGTCTTGGCTGTTGTCCTGGAACTCTTGCTGTAAACCATGCTGGCTTCAAACTCACAAGACCTCCCTCCCAAGTGCTGGGATTAAGGCAGAGTGCTGCCACCTGGGGACCATCGTGTGTTTGAAGGTTTACTTAGGCAGGTCTGGTGGCGCAAACCTTTATCCCAGCACCTGGGAGGCAGGAGGAGGATCTCTGTGAGTTTGAGGCCAGCCTGGTCTACATAGCAAGTTCCAGGAAAGCCAGGACTATATAGAAAGACCCAGTCTCAAAAATAAATAAATAAATAGATAGATAGATAAATAAATAAATAAATAAATAAATAAATAAATAAATAGCGTTTGTTTTATGTATATGGATCTTTCACTGTTGCTTGTGTGTGTATCCATGTACTGTTTGTGTAGTGCCCACAGAGGCCAGAAAAGGGCATCGGGTCCCCAGAACCGGAGTTACAGACAGTTGTGAGCTGCTAATGTGGGTGCTGAGAACTGAACCATGGTCCTCTGCACGAGCAGCCAGTGCTCTCAACCTCTGAGCCATCTCTCCAGTGCCAGAGCCCCTGGACTCTGATCTGACTATAAGGAAACCGAGCACAGGAAGGTCCCTGAAACTGTCCAGCATCGTGCAAAAAGTCAGAATCCTGGCTAGGAAGTGTAGCCCTGCAGCTTTCAGCTTTAGGCACAGTGCAGAGATTAAGCCTATTTGGAGGTTGTCAGGTGGAGATAGCCCATTAGAATAGAATGTCAGGTAAATAATAAATAATGTTAGCAGAAGCAATCACATGAAATATTTTGGTCATACTTATATCAACAAATTATTCATTGTTATCTGAAGGAATTTAACCAGGGTTGCATACTCCTGTTTACTTATCCTAACACCTAATCACGAGGTGATTGTATGCTGTCACCTGCTGTGACACACATCGCCTCATTTGTTGCTCCCAAGATGCCCCAGCCCCTCTTCTCAGCCCTGCAGTTTCAACCACCCTGTCCCTTTAGAGATTATACAATGTCTAGCTAAGATTACAGAATGTAGCGAGAGGCAGAGCTGGGAGTGATGGTTCACATCTGTAAATCTCCATACTTGAGGCTGAGGGAAAAGAATTGTGAACTCAAGGCTAGCCTGGGCTTCATCAGGAGTTCCAGGCTAGCCTGGGCTATAGAATAACACCCTGTGCCTTCCCACAAACGAACAGGCAAACACAAGAAAGGCCAACAAAAGAGCTCGGTAACTAAGGGCACTTGCCACCAAACCTGACCACCTGCCTTTCCTCCCCTGAGCTCCTGACCAGAAGATGGCCAGTCCTAGGAGTTTTCCTTCATCTCTACACATGCTGCAGCGGGCACAATAGAGATACGCTTAAAAATTAGAGCTTGCTGGCCGTGGTGGCGCCCGCCCTTAAGCCTGGCACTCAGGAGGTAGAGGCAGGCTGATCTCTGTAAATTAAAGGCCAGCCTGGTCTACAGAGTGAGTTCCAGGACAGCCAGGGCTACACAGAGAAACCCTTGCCTTGAAAAAACAGAGAGAGATAGAGAGAGAGAGAGATTGACCATGCATCCTCTGGTTCTAAAACCAAAGTATATTTTCCACTTTAGTAAGAAAGAATATCAGAATTTGCCGCAAATCTTCATAGCCAGGGTCCCTGAGCTTGCTTTTTCTGTGGGATCGCAGTGAATATACTGTAACCCTGGATTCTGGGAGATCAAGGAGAGCCACTCCTGGGTTTGGAGAGTGGCAGAGGACTGGAGGCAGGAAAAAGACTGCTCCCTCAGTCCCAAGGAGCCAGTCCTGAGGTTTAAGCAGCTGCCTGGGGTCCCCGAGGCTCAGAGGGACTGTGCACCTGCCGCTGGGTGCTGACAGCCGCAGGCTCGGCTGTTGGGATTGCATCACCTGGGGGAACAGTGGCAGCTGAAAGGCAACAGAAGTCCGAGAAATCCGGGACGAGAGCCTCTTCCATCTGCTTAGGGTAGGGACGTAGGGTGCTCCCACAGCGCCGGTCTGCAAGGAACACCCTCTGCATTTTTCTCTCTTGACTCTGGATCAGCTCCCACCCCTGACTACCTGTGCCCTTCCTTCACCCCAAATATAAACAATCCCCTTGTCTTCCCGCCCATGCTGGCTGGTTTTCCCTAAGGCAAAATCACTGAAGCTTATGGGCTGGGACCCCCCGTCGGGTGCAGGCTGGGGTGCCCTGGTATGTGTCCCAACAGGTTTTTCTCTATCTACCTTGAAATCAGCTGGGAGCCTGTCTGACCTGCATTCCCCTTACCCCCTCCACCCCCACCCCCTTTACCCTCAGGAAGCTGGAGCCAGCGGTGAAGCCAGGTCAGAAGCAAGACTCAAGAGACTAGGTGTCTGTGGTCCCAACCTGGCCCCACGGGGAAAGCAACGCACAAAGCCTCCTGTGTCCCGGGCTGGGCTGAGAGGCTGAGCCACTTGGCGTGGGTTCAGGGCCAGTCCCTGGGAGGAGAGATGCTAAGCAAGGAGGTGTTTGCTTGTAGACCCTGTAGAGCCTGGTCCTCTCCCACGTCTGGGAGGGGCCGGAATTGGAGACAACAGCTGGGCTGGTCTGCAAGAGAGGTCATCTGACTGGCTGCTCAGCCTGGGCCCTCCACTCCTCCTCTCCTCCACCAGGCTACACCGGAGCTGGTGCCCACACAGCCAAGCCACGAAGCCATAACACCCACCTCACCTCTAGCACCTCTGGGGTAAGTCCTGAAACTGAGCCCTTCTCTGGGGGAGGGAGAATGTATTGATTGTGGGAGGGGTGGATATGATGTGCTCCCTTCGCGCGGTGAGATGTCTGGCCTCTGTCCAGCTCCCTGAGTTCCTACAGCAGCCCAGATTACACCTGCTGGCCTAAAAATCCCCCCTGAGATTCCTGGGGGGAAGGGCAGACTGGCAGGAGGACGGTTTGCAGGTTAGATCTTACCGGAGGTGAGGAGGTGTGATAAGGAGCTGTCTTCTCTCCCTGCGCCCCGCGCCCATCACCACCTGGGTGGCCTGAGGAGCCGGGGCAGGTAAGGGAGGGACATGAGCCTCAGCAAGGGGTATCATCTCAGACTAAGGGTTCAGGGGCCTTGGCTGGAGGGAATTGGTTGATGAGTGCTGGTTCCAGCAGCCTCGCTAGCCAGGCCTGGCCTACCAGAGCTGGAAGCTAGGTCCATCCCATTGCCCTCCTCTTCCACTCTCAAGCCTGCACACTTGTTCTGTATCCTATCATTCATTCATTCATTCATTCATTCATTCATTCATTCTTCTGCAGCAAAGGAAAGGCATGGGTTGAGAAAGCCGCAGATTAGAGACCATCAACAAGCCCAGGTGGAACATTCACCTAAGCCAACTCCTGTGTCCTTCCATAGGGCAGCCGGGCACACCATGTCTGTGAGCTGTGGAATACTGGGAACATCCTTGACCCAGGAGATCCTCAGTTCCCTGGGTTTGGCCAACAAGGTACAGGCTGTTGGGACTTCAGAAACTGATTCATGTATTCAGTCATTGCCAGCTTAGCGCTCTACCACTGACCCACATCCTGAGGCCCAACAGCAAATTTAATGTGTCAACTCAGGGGCCAGGAGATGAAGAACTGGAAAGTGGAGGTGGCTTTGGAGAGGTAGCTCGGCTGGGTAAAAGCCTTGAGGAGCTGAGTTCAGTCCCTAGGACCCACATGGAAGGAGATAACCCACTCCCTCAGATTGTCCTCTGACCTCTCATGCACAAACACAACAAACGAACAAAACAGGAGGAGGAGAGCGGGCTCCCTCCTCATGATACCGTGCTCTTACAGACTGCCGCTTGGGGGACCCTGGGCACCCTCAGGACCTTCTTGAGCTTCAGTGTGGACAAGGATGTACAGAGGCTGCTGAAGGCCATTACAGGCCAAGGTAAGCTCATGTTCTTGGTGTTTAGGGTTCACCTTTCATTGTTGACCTGATTCTTTCTTTCTTTCTTTCTCTTTCTTTCTCTTTTCTTTCTTTCTTTTTCTTTTTCTTTCCTTCTTTCTTTTTCTTTTTGAGATAGGGTCTCGTTTGTAACCTAACAAGCCTGGAGCTCACTATGGAGACCAGGCTGACCTCTGACTCAGATCCGCTCGCATCTGCCTCCCTAATGCTGGGCTTAAGGGCTGTACCACCACCCCTGACCGGATCTCACTCTGTATCTCAAGCTGCTGTCATAGTTGCAGTAATCCTCCTGCAGCGGTTTCCCAAGTGCTGGCAAGAGCCATGATGCAGAACCCAACTACAGGTCTGCCCTCTCTCTCCTCCTTCTCTCTTGTTCTAAAATTTTATTATTTTATTTTATGTATATGGGTGTTTTGCCTGCACGTATGTCTCTGTACCACAGGCCTGCCTGGTACCTTCAGAGGCTGAAAGAGGAGATCAGAGCCCCTGGAACTGCAGCTTCAGGTGGTTGTGAGTCAGTATGTGGGTGCTGGGACTTGAACTCAGGTCCCCTGGAAGAGTAGCCAGTGTTCTGCACCTCTGAACATCTCTCCAGCCCCAGGTTTACTTTTTCATAAATAATCTATAGGTCAAAAAGGGAAGAGGGGACAGCCAGATGGCTCAGAGGGTACAGGCTCCTGCTGCCAAGACAGATGACTTGAGTTCAATTCTGGGAGAAGGAGAGAACTCCCAGGAGATGTCCTCAGACCTCCACACATGCTCTGAGGCAAGCAAGCACCCCCCCACACACACACATTAAATAAAATTAAATAGATAGATAGACAGACAGATAATGTTAAAAAATATTTTTAGGGAGTCAGGAAGGAGGAGTTAGCAATGTTCTGGGAGCACTGGTGGAATGCTTGATTCTAGCACGTCAAGTTCCGTAGTGATGTGTCATATCCACTCCCACAACACCCTTGCAAGGTTCGACTTATTATTTCCATTCTGCACATGAGGAAATTGGGCCTCAGGAAGAGTAAGAGGCTTGCCTAAGCTCACATACATATGTTATAATAGGAGATCTGGGATTCTAAGTCAAACGAGAGTGGCCTACCCAAAAAGGCCTTTAAATTTTTATTTCACTTATAGTTTCCTTTTCTTTCTTCCTTCCTTGGCTGTCCTGGACTTGCTCTGTAGACCAGGCAGCCCTCAAACTCATATTAATCTGCCTGCCTCTGCCTCCCTGAGTGCTGGAATTACGGGCATGCCCCACCACACCTGGCTTCTTTCCTTTCTTTTTCTCTCTCTTTTTTTTTTTTTAAAGATTTATTTATTTATTATCTGTATCATGTTTTGCCTGCATATATACATACACACCAGAAGAGGGCACCAAATCTCACTAGGGATGGTTGTGAGCCACCATGTAGTTGCTTGGGAATTGAACTCTAGACCTCTGGAAGAGCAGCCAGTGCTCTTAACGTCTGAGCCATCTCTCCAGGCCCTTTTCTTTCCTTTCTTAAACCATCTTACTAGGCCACTTTTGCCTGAATTTGTATTTGGGTCAGATCTATCTATTTTATTTTTTATTTTTATGGTTTTGGTTTTTTCAAGACAGGGTCTCTGTGTAGCCCTGGCTGTCCTAGAACTTGCTCTGTAGATCAGGCTGGTCTCAAGCTCAGAGATACACTTACCTCCTGGGTGCTAGGTTAAAGCTGTGTGCTCCACCGCTGTCTGCCTCCCTGACTGACTGGCTAGCTTGCCTCTGTCTCTCTCTCTTTCTCATGTAACCCCGGCTAGCATCAAGCTCACTGTGTGCTTAATGGCTGAACTCCAGATCATCCTCCTTCATCTCCCAGATGCCTGGATTACAAATCTGTGTCATCACACTCAGCTTTCCATACCATTTTATTTATTTACTTACTTACTATTTACTTAATTTTTGTTTTTTTGAGACAAAGTTTCTCTGTGTAGCCTTGGCTACTCTTCCAGTAAAGGAGTCCTAGACTCTCTTTGTAGAGCAGGCTGGCCTGGAACTCACAGAGCTCCGCCTGCCCCTGCCTCCCCGAGTGCTGGGATCTCGGGCGGGCGCCACCGTGCCCAGCTTCCATGCCATTTTACATACTGAAGTATGCGCATGTGTGCTCTCAAGCGAGTGCAGTGCCCGAGCCAGATGATGCTGGCTCCCCTGGAGCTCACCAGGCCATCATATGCCACCTGATGGGGAGGCTCGGGTCCTCTGAAAAAGCACTACCTGTTCTTAACCTCTGGAGCATCTCTCCAGCCCCTTTAAAGGATTTTTGACATTTTCTTTGCATTTCCTTTGAGAACAAATGGAAAGGGGTAAAGTAGCCCCTGGTCCTCTCTTCCCCGAGGAGCCAGGAATTCACAACTGTGAACCCTGTGGTTGCACCTGCTCTTGTCTTGGTATAGGCGTGGACCACAGCGCCATCGTGGATGTACTGACCAACCGGAGCAGAGAGCAAAGACAGCTCATTTCCCGAGCCTTCCAAGAACGCACCAAGCAGGTGCGACCACTGGCTTCCCAGGAGCTGTGGGCAGGGTGGGGAGCCTCTGGGGGACTTGAGACCAGCCATGGCCAGCCCCTCCCTCCTGGCTAATCAGGGACTTAGTGGCCTAACCTGGGACAAAAATCAGCCAAAGCTTCCTGTGCTTCTGCCTGTCTGTGGACCCTTTATGCAGGATCTATTGAAGTCCTTGCAGGCAGCCCTCTCTGGTGACTTGGAGAAAATCGTGGTGGCTCTCCTCCAGCCTGCAGCCCAATTTGATGCCCAGGAATTGAGGACAGCTCTGAAGGTACCAGGAGAGGACAGCTGCTGGGTTGTCTGGGGAATGAGGACACTCACAGGAGAGGAAGGACAGTTAGTGGACTGGCCTCGACCTCTCCAGAGAGTGGCCTAAAGGCCCCCTTGACCCTGTGGTGACCTTTAGATGGAGAAGTGGCTAGTACCTGCTCTCCACCCCTCACCACCTGCCGTGTTTTGGAGCTAATGACACAGCCCAGCGTCAGGTGGCCTCACAATTTCTTGTAGACCTCCAGTTGTGCTGAGGACGTGGCCCTGGAAATCCTGGCCACCCGCGCGGCACCCCAACTGCAGGAGTGCCTGGCGGTATACAAGCATGGTGAGAACGGACCGGGGCCCGAGCACTGACGGGAGGGACAGTCCACTTCTCTCCTATGTCCCTGCAGCGCTGGCACCCTAAGTTTAGTCCTTAAGGTCTCTGCTCCCAGCACTCCCCCCCCCCTACTGCCAGTGCCTCGGTCTCCCCAGGGGAAAGAGCCACATGTGGTCATTAAAGGAGAAACAATGATTAATCTAGTCTGCAGCCCGGGGCAGCTCTCACAGTAATGACAGTAGGCACCGTAAAAGTCCCAAAGGTATCCTCCTCGTCACCTTCCCAGCCCCTCGCTGTCTCTACCATCACACCACGTCCCAAGGCCTTGCTGGCGCCAGGGGGACAGGTGGCACCCTTTTTAAGACATACCATCTCCCTGCCACCCCAGAGGCTGCTGGCCCTGCCTGTCTGCCCCTTGCCTCACCTACTAATTTATGAGCGCTTTTCCCACCCTCTTCTCATCCTCACCACAGTGCCTGTTTTTCTTTAGTTTTCTTTCCATGTCTAATGCTGGTCTGTGTTCCTAACTCTCTCCTATTCCTCTCGGCCCCTTCTTGCTTCTGTTTTCTTTTCTTTCATTCTCCATACCCCCCAACACATACCCAATACAGTTCCACGTAGATAAGATACTCTGTTTAGGATCCTCATGATTCAGCCACATGCCTCCCCACAAAGCGCTGGGCTTATAGGCATTTTTTGTTTTTAATTCCTCCTTCCCCTCTTGTCTTTCTGTACTGGGGGCTGATCCCAAGCTAGACAAGTGCTGTATCACACAGTCTTCACTCTTCTGTTTTCCTGACTCCTGCTCACCCTGCTTCATACTATACCTCACACATCACTTCTTGGACATTGATTAGAGGGCTAGGGCCCCACCGACTGGCTTTGTAATCTGGGATTTCCGGTTACTGCTGGTTGTCTAACAATGGATGGAATTTCCAGCAGGAAGGTTTTCGATGAAGCCACCTTCACTACTCACAGCTTAGGAATGTTTTCAGAGTGGCCATGATGGTGTCAGGTCTCCATCCATCCATGTCAGAGCAGCCACTAAACTACTCTGCAGGAGAGAGAAGGACTGGTAGGGAGCTGGAGCAAGAGCCCAGCAGCTAAGAGCATGGAGAGGGCCTGAGTTTGGTTCCCAGCACCCACATCAGATGGCTCACAACCGCCTGCTAGTACAGCTCCATGGATCTGAGAACTTCTAGCCTGCTTGGGCACTGCCCACCATACACATAAAAACAAATATTTGAGAAAAAAAATAAAAGGACCGTGAGGGTTCAGTAGGTCAGGCGCTTGGCAAGTCCTACAGCTGTCTACCCTGAGAAAATCAGGAGTCAGAAACCTCCTCCCCTCCAGATTTCCAGGTGGAGGCTGAGGAAGACATCAGGACTGAGACCAATGGCATCTTGCAGGACCTGCTTCTGGCCCTGAGCAAGGTGAGGCTTGGCCTGTAAGGGAAGGGAGTTGTGCTCCTCAGGATGGGCATGAGCCAGAGTAGGGAGCTCTGCTGTCCTGTGATGGACAAGAGAGAGCTTTGGAGAGACCAGCCAGGGTCTGGACAATACTGTGGCTCCAAGAAGAGTCCTCCTGAAAACAGTGTCTCTTCCCAGGGGGCCCGTGAGAGCTACTCTGGAATCATTGACTACAATTTGGAAGAACAAGATGTTCAGGTGAGCAGGATTTGAGAGTTTGTATAGCCTTGTCCATGTCTTAGGGCCTCCTTGACTGCCTCTTGACCATGTCTTAGGGCCCAGATCCCATAGATAGCAAACCTGGTTCCTGCCTTCTTTGCCTCTGCTCCTGAGTCCACTGAATACAGTCTCCTCTGCTGGCAGAGTCTCCTCCTGTGGACCAAGCAAGCCTCCTTGGATCTTATCTTAGGGGTTAGTTCCTTGTGAGAGCAGCTGAACAGAGCCCCTTTCTTAATCCTGTCTATTTCTCTGGCTATCCTGGAACTCACTATCTAGACCAGGCTGGCCTCAAACTCAGAGATCCATCTGCCTCTGCCTTCTGTGTGCTGGCGTTAAATTATCCTTTTCTACCCTCAGTCCCATTTATTTCACCACAGTAGATTTGGGGGGCATCATAACCATGGCTTCCAGGCTCCAGTGTTCCTCGGTCACGCCTTACTGATCCTCTCCCCTTCCCCAGGCACTCCAGCAGACTGGGGGATCCAGCCCAGCGGGTCAGTGGGTCCTGCTCTTTACACAACGCAGTCCTGAACACCTCATCCGAGGTACCCGAGCCTTCTTATCCCCATCCAGCTTGCTCTATTGATGAGTGTGGCAGCCAGTGGTGGGGAGGATCTCTCTTCTCTGTGGTAAGTAACAGTCCCACACACCAATCTACCTCTCTACCCCCCCCCCATACCGAAAGTGTTTGATCGGTATCAGAGATGCACGGGGCAAGAACTGGAGGATGCTATCCGGAACTGTTTCCATGGAGATGCCCAGCTAGCTCTGCTCAGCCTAGGTAGGTACCTGTACAGGATGTATGGAGGGGTTTCACTGGGATGGGAAGCTGGGCCCTGACATGGCTCCCTATTCTCTTACCTTTGCTTCTAGCTTCCATGATGAGAAACACAGCACTGTACTTTGCTGACAAACTTCACCACGCCCTTCAGGTATGACATGCTACTTCCTGCCCTAAGCTTCAGGACCTACCGGGAAACCTACAAGCTACTGCCTCCCCGTGTTTATAGACTGTCTTGTCATGGGTAGGGGAGTGAGCTTTGGTGAAAACTCAGTCGACCCACAAAGCACTAAAGGCAAAGTTTGCCTTAATGTGTGTGCTTTGTCCAGTGTTAGCTGTCGTCAGAGGTGAAGGTGATTCTCCAGCTGTTCTCAGCCGTTCTAACACTGCGACCCTTTGTACAGTTCCTCATGCTGTGGTGACCCCAACCATAAACTTATTCCCATTGCTACTTCATAACTGTAATTTTCCTACTGTTATAAATCATAGTGTAAATATATGATTTCGACCCCTGTGAAAGGGTTCTTCAATCCCCAAAAGGGATCCCACCCACAGGTTGAGAACTACTGCTGTAGAAAGAAGAATGGGTGGGCATGGTGGTGAAAACCCGCATTCCCAGTCCACAGGAGGCAGAAGCAGGAGTATCCCAAGTTCCAGGGCAGCCCGGATTTCCCTGTACTCTGCTGCTGCTTCCAGCATATTGCTCACATTCCAATTAACCTTCACAGTTATGCACTGTCCTTGTTCAACCAAGATTTAACAAAATGAGGATCAAAGAGATGTGAAATGCCTTGAGCACCCTGGGCCTCCTTTCTCCACATTGGCTGGGTTTGTTTATTTGGTTTTTCAAGACAAGGTTTCTCTTCCTGAAACTCACTTTGTAGACTTTGAATTTGGACATCCACCTGCCTTCCAAGTGCTGAGATTAAAGCCGTTCACAGCCACCACCATCTGGCCACACTGGCTTGATTTTGTTCCTATTGTGTATCCTCAAGCTCAGAAGAGAGCTAGGTGAATGAGCACCTGCTGCATATGCCCAAGGCCTTAGCTGCCATCTTTGCACTCCTTTGAAAAATGCCTAGAGAGCCAGGCGTGTTGGTGCACTCCTTTAATCCCAGCATTCAGGAGGCAGAGGCAAGCCGACCTCTGAGTGTGAGGCCAGCCTGATCTATACAGAGTTCCAGGACAGCTAGAGCTACATTGTGAGATCCTGTCTCAAAAACCAAACCAAAACAAAAAGTACCTGGTGTATTATTTATCTAAAAAGTGATGACTTTGGTTTGATTGATTACACAAACAGAATCTAGAACTTCTGCTAGATGAACTAGGTCTCCTCTAAGAATGAACATGTGTATGTGTGTGTGTATGCATGTGTGTGTTTAAATGAAGTATAGTAGCCAGGCAATGGTGGTGTGTGCCTTTAATGCTACCACTCAGGAGGCAGAAGCTAGTGGATCTCTGAGTTTGAGGACAGCCTGGCCTACAGAGCGTGTTCTAGGATAGCCAGGAGTAGACAGAGAAACCCTGTCCTGAAATAACAACAAAAGGCAGTATAATATATGAAAGGCTGGAGTGATCATATTTGGGTTGACAAAAAAAAAAAAAAAAAAAAAAAAGTCTTCAGCATCATGACCCATTGATGACTATTCAAAAGACAGTCTTCCATCATCCAGAGATTTCCATCTTGACAACAGATTATTGTACTTAACTGAGAAAGCCTGGCTCATTATAATGAGTCAACACCAGGATTCATTTGAAGACCTGTGCTTATCTGTCTGAGTTCCTGATAATAATAATAATAAAAAAAATCTGTGGGCCAGGAATGGCTCAGTGGTAGAGCACGTGCTTAGCCCATGACACACGTAAAAGGGAGCAAACACACACCCTAGTATACTGGGAGTATGAGACCTGGATTATTGCATATGTGTCAAGAGACATACACCTGCAATCCCAGGACCAGAGAAGTAGAAACAAGAGCAAGAGTTCAAGGCTTGTCAGCTATGGTGGCCGGGGCGAGTGGATCTCTGTGTCTCTGTGAGTTCAAGGCGAGCCAAGGCCACATGATGAGACCTAAAAAGTTCAAGGCCAGCCTTAGCTATATAGTGAATTCAAGGTAAGTCTAGTACACTAAAAACAAAACCATGGGGCTGGAAAGATGGCTCAAAGGTTGTTTCTTGTTCACCCAGAGGACTCGTTTGGTTCCTGGTATCCAGCCCAGCAACTGCTCCAGGGGTATGAATGTCCACAGGCATCCACACGCATGCGGCATACATGCACACAGATACACACATGTACACATAAAACAAATCTTGGGCTGGACATGGTGTCTTACACTATTAGTTCCAGCATATGGATCTCTGTGAGTTTGAGGTCAGCCAGAGATACACACTGAGACCCCAGCAAAAACAACCCTCAAGATCCTGGTCCTAGCATGCTCAGTGCCCTAGGTCTGACATTTACCCTGTATCCTGTGGCGACGACTTCGGCTCTTAGACTTTGCTCCCCATCATGCTTCCTTTCCTCCACTTCCTACCCACCCACGTCACTCACCCCCTACGTAGTGAGAATGTTCCCTAGCTGCCTGCCACACATTCCCCAATCTGTTTATTCACCAGGAAACTGAGCCCAATTGCCAAGTCCTGATGCGGGTCCTCATCTCCCGCAGTGAGAGCGACCTTCTAAGCATCCGGGCTGAATTCAAGAAGAAATTCGGGAAGTCTCTCTATTCTTCTCTCCAGGTAAAATTTAGCTTGCTTTCTTTCTCTTTCTTTCTTTTTCTTTCTTTCTTTCTTTCTTTCTTTCTTTCTTTCTTTCTTTCTTTCTTTCTTTCTTTCTTTCTTCAAGATAGGGTTTCTCTGTGTAAACCTGGCTGTCACAGAACTTTCTCTGTAGCGAGGGCTGGTCACTACTCAAAGATCAACCTGCCTCTGTCTCCCAAGTAATGGGACCAAAAGCGTGTACCATCACTGTCAGACTAAACTTAGACATTCAGCCTGGAGCCCTGGTGTCCTAGCTCATCCCTCCACCCCCCTTTCCCTTGGTTGAGTGTAGCAGAAAGAGGTCTTTCCCTAAGAGAAGCTATGTATTAGCCCAAGGTGGGGTGAGAAGGCTCAGGCCGTGGCGGTGGTGTAAGAGTTTTTCTAACACTGGTTCCCCTACCTGCAGGATGCAGTCAGCGGGGACTGCCGCTCAGCCCTACTAGCCCTGTGCAGAGCTGAAGACATCTGAGACCTTCCCGACTGCCCTGATGTGCCGTTCAAAACCTGAGATTCCCATAGTTAATTGGACACACAGAAGACGCCCAAGGAACACCATATATGCTCACTTCCTCTTGAGGCTGGACCTCTACATTTCTTTGCTAGCCTTAGATCTCCCTCCTCGCACAGTGGTGTGTCCCAGCTCCGCTCCAGGGAAGATGTCCTTGACACTGCCTGCCCTACTCCCCAGCAGCCAAACACTTCGGCAAATTCAGTGTCTTTTTGTTTCCTGGTTAAAGTTTGGGTGGAGGCGGACATGGGCCAGGAAGAGGCCTTGGGCCTGGAGGCGCCTTTGAAGTACACTTAGCTATTCACAGGGAATCAGTTAACAACATTCCCCACCCCTGGGTCTCCCTTCAACTTCATTATTCTCTCCTCCCCGGGAAATCTCAGGCAAGATAATTAAGAATAGGTACCAGGGGATCTTAACTGGCACAGGGCCATCTGCAAGAGCTGCTGGCCCTGGAAGTCTCATAACATCCCCCAGTTCCAAGCAGGGAACTGGAAATACACCTCCAACTAGAGTCACTTCCCACACAACACCTCCCAAGGCAGGGAAGAGGGAAAAGGCACATTTGGGCGCCCCCTGCTGGCCCTGTGCGGAATGACAGGCAACCTGTCCCCTCCCCACCGCCTCCCTTGTTCACATTCCTCAACTGGGTCAAATATTTAACTCCACTCCAGGGTAGGAAAACAACATATCTCAGGAAAGAAGTTTTATTTCCAAACCCCTAGGAAGGCATTAAAAATCAGAGAGATAGAAACCCAAATCAAACTCTTGAAAACAAAGACAGGCCTGTGGCAACCCAGGAGCAGCCAGGCAGGCCGGACTCAGGGTAGATGCATACAGAGGGGTACCTCACCAAGCAGCCTGGGTTTGTACGCTCCCGTTACCGCAGGAAAGGGAGATGGGAGAGACCTTCACCCCACCCATGTGGCCCTGGAGGAGGGGAAGAGAAGACAGCAACACAGAAGGGCGAATGAGGTGCCGAGCCTGATCTTGGCACCTGCTGGCTGCTCTAATCCCCAGCAGTGCACGCAGGTTACCCTGTATGCCTCAGGGAAGGGGGGCGTGCTGCAAGCCAGCTAGTCACCACCTCTGAAAGAAGGGGCGGATTACTCCATCTGGGCAGAGTTAGAGCAAAACACAGTCTGACTCAGGCTTTGACCTCTGCCGCCGCTCTCCAGCTGGGCGTCTCGATGTGGCTCCTCTCCCCTGGGTGAGATTTAGCAATTAGTTATCCAATAACCTTGGCAGAGGGCACAGGCATGGGGCTCAAGATCAAAAGATGTACCGCACAAGGTTACAAGGAAAAACTCTTCAGAGACCTGTACAGAAACCATATGCATTCTGTGCCAAGCAAGGTCAGCCCTTGCCTACCAAGAGAGGGTCAGGCTCACCTGGGGGGAAGGGGCCCTTGCTTGCACAGGCTGAACTGCTTGCTGCTGTTGATACTCTTCCTGTTGAAGTTGCTGGGCCAGTTCCAGGTCACTAAGGCCCAGCATGTCTTGTGGCTGCTGCTGCTGCTGCAGGGACAAGGCAATAAGATAGTCCTAGAGAGAAAACAAATCACAAGATGGACGACGGCCAGAGGATAGAGATTCAGGTGAAACTTCCAAACCATGTTTCCTTCAAACTCTCCAGCCCTTCTCCCTCTAGTAAAAAACACCGTCGAGTCCATTATCTGTGGTGCCAGGACATACACCGCAATCAAGGAAATGGCTCAAGAGGAACGTGAAGAGGCGTGGGTGTTGCACGCCTCCAGCCAATAATACGCATGAAGCTCACTTACAGGTGACAGCCCACGTCTGCGCCCAGTCCTGAAAGGCCTCACACACCTGGTCCACCTGCAGCTGCTTCTCCGGAGAGCTGCTCCCACCTTCTGCCCCCTGGCTTTTGCCTAGGGAATGGCTCAGGTGGAAGTCGGAGTCACAGAAGCAGCTGTCGCCATCCACATTGTGCAGGCTCTCCCACACCACCTGCTCCTCCTGGAGAAAACCCTGGTCGGTGACCAGCAGGTACAGGTGACTCTGCGAGAGAGAGAGAGAGAGAGAGAGAGAGAGAGAGAGAGAGAGAGAGACAGCCAGGGCCAGGCCTTAGCTCAGTGGGAGGCAGGGCCTGGCAAGTACAAGTGTTCTGAATTTGATCCCCATCACACCCTGCCTCCTCACACACAACCTCCCACAAAGCTGAAAAAAAAAAAAAAAAGAGCAGATTGGTGGGACAGAGATACAGAGGCAGTTTACAGCACACAGCTGTCCGTGTGCTGACTGGAGTGAGCGTTCAATCTTTCCTAAGTATGCATGGCTATGGGGAGCAGGAAGGGATGTCTGAACACGGGTGGGTGAGCTGTGGTTAAGGAATCCTATGCTAGAGAATCACACCAAATCCAGTTCCCTACCCTCTTCCCTCTGCTTCTTTGTGTCGGGGGATGTCTAAAGATATAAACCCTTTGAGAACCAGGAAAATTGGGCGTGGTGATACTTGACTATACTCTTAGCCCCTGGGAGGTAGAGGCAGGAAAGTCAGAAGGGCAAGGCAAGGCAAGGTGTGGCAGTGCACACTTTTAATCCCAGCAGTCTGGCTGTGGGCACACCTGACTTCCAGGCCAGCTAGGGCTGGATTAGGGGTGGAGAGTGTGTGGCAGAACCAGAAATCTCGTCCTCTTCTACTCCATCACTAAAGAGCTTCAGCTCCTAACTCAGGAGAGTCCCACTGACCTCTCTAGGTCCTGCCTTAATAGCAGGTTTATCCCTTATAACCTGCCCTGGGTCATTTCCAGGTAGAAGCACTGAGAATAAAGGCTTGATGGAAGGCACTTTTCCTGCGTATATGAAAGCTTTTTTGTCAGCCTGAAGATCTTCACCCAGGGTGAAGATGGTGTGAGATAGGATGTAGCCAGCTTGCACTGGACATGCACTGTGAGTTAGAAACAAACACTTGTTGTGGTGAACCACAAGGATCTTAGTGGTTATTTGTCACTGTGGCTTAACCCACTTTACCCTGCCTGACACACTAAGCCCAGAGAAAGAGGTGTAGGGAAATGACATGGTTCCTGCTCCCCGTCCTCCAAAGCCCCATCACCTGGTGCTTAGTCATCGTGCTAAAGTGGTTATTTCGAAAAAAGACACTAAGTTCGTCCTCCTTAGCCGTGGCTGTGAGCTCACACAGGCCGTGGTAGGTCAGCTGTGCTGCAGTGGTGTCCAGGAACTGCTCTGCAATCAAGCCTGCCAGAGGCATAAAAGGAGAGAGACGTGGCTTGAATCCAAACCGGTGACAGGAAAAAAAGCAAAACAAATCAAAACGCTGGGCATGTGGCACCAGCACGCAGACGCTGAGCTCGGTCCTAGGCGTGGTGGTGCATGCCTTTAGTTCTGCCCTGTGTGGGGGTACAGGGAGGCCCGTGGACCTCTTCGCCACCAGCTAGCCAGGCTGCATAGAGAGGCCCTCAAAACAAACACTAAAGCCCCCACCACCCCCAGCATAGCCCAAAGCAAATAAAACAAAGTTCACGATAAGGAAGTTTGTTCAAAAAGCCCCGGGGAGCTCTCTTGAGTCCCACTCTTTGAAACCCCTTCCTTACACTGGGGCAGCTCAGCATTAGGCAGTATGCTTAGCACACACAAGGCCCCAGATCTGGTTCCCAGCAGCACACACATATACATAGAAGCTGAAGCCAGGCTTGGTTATGCATGCCTGTAAGCCTGGTGCTTGGAGGCTGAAGACAGAAGGATCAGAGGTTCAAAATCATCCTCAGATGCAAAGCCAGCCTGAGCCAAGAGCCCGCGTTGCACCCCTGTCAGAGTTGAGATAAAAACCCTTCATAAAAGGCTGGCTGTATTCAACCAGCACAGCCAGGAGTGGGAGTGTGCATAACCTGAGCTCTCTGCTCAGGAGAGTGAGGCTTTCTGGGCTGGGCAGTGACTTCAGGGCTGCCTTTAACTACGTGAGACCGTGTACCAAGAAGAAAAAGTGTCTTTCTCTCCTCTCTCTCTGTCTCTGTCTCTCTCTTTGTATTGCGCAAAACAACAAGCCTCAGCTGCTGCCCTTCCCTGCACATGACCTCTACAAGGAAGCAGGGTATCGCTGTTACCTTCTGTCACGAGGTTGGGGTCACTGGAGTGTTTGCAGGTGATGATCTTCTCTACCAGCTGGTTGTAACTCAGTTTTCCAACAGCACTCACAGCCTCAGGACTCTGGGGATTAGAGTAGGGGTGGGGCAAAAATAAACTGGTTTTCCTTTAAGGAAGGAAACGAACCAAGCCCCTTGGACATGATTCCATGATCAAAGATACCTGAACTTTTGATGTCCAAAGACCTGATCTTACTTGTTTGTGGTTTCCTTGTGCAGGGATGTGACTCCACCCAATAATATTAAAATTGGAGGAATTCTGCATGCTTTCAATCTCCAGATCCTACCCTTCCTCCAACTGATCCAACCCTTTTCTTCCCAGATGCCCCCACCCTATTCATGGCAGATTCACGGGCCCCGCCCTCACCTGTGGGTCGACCAGCCCGCCCTCACCTGTGGGTCGACAGGCCCGCCCTCACCTGTGGGTCGACCAGCCAGCCATGGTACAGAGGGATGCCCAGCAAGTCAAAGACGCTGCACTCAGGTGTATACTCAAAATCTGAGGCGCCCGTGAAGCGCACGTTGACATCCAGACCTGTGGCCAGTTTAGGGAGCACGGTCATTGCATCGTCCACGTTCTAGCAGGAGGAGAGACAAGATGTCCAGTCCGGCCTCTCCTTCCTCCCACTCCCACCAGCCACAAACAAACCAGCAGTCCTGTGGTTTTGGTTTTTTGTTTTTTTAGCTCTGACCTTCTTACAAGCCATTCATTTAATTTCCCTTACCTCCTCACCCCCCCCCCTTTTTTTTCTTCTTCTTCAAGCTAGGGTCTCAACCCTGGCTGTCCTGAAACTCACTCTGTTGACCAGGCTGGCCTTGAACTCACAGAGATGTACCTGCCTCTGCCTCCCAAGTGTTGGGATTAAAGGTGTACACTAGTATGCTGGGCCATCTTAATCCCTCTTTATCGTATATAAAAATGAACATTTTTTTTTTTTTTAATCAGGACAGAGAGATACCATTCCCCAAGAGGATAGCAAGGTTCAGGAATTACCCACAAAGGCTTCTCACTAGGTCCAGGGTCCCCTTGCCAGCCGGCGGACCCTATGTCCGCTGCCCTCTTGCCTCACCTGCTGAAAATTAAGCTGAAGGCCCTCAGACTTCTCCTGGGGCTTGATGGACAGGAGGCAGTTTCCTGTAAGACAGGAAACTTATCAGCCTATCCTACCCTGCCAGTTGTCCCAAAAGTTTGGCTCCCCACCTCTTCTGGAGAAGGGGGTAATATCACAGGACCATAATTCAGGATTTTAATTTCTCGGAGGATAAATAGGCGTATAGAGGTGAAAGAACAACCCAGGGTAAAGACAGAGGCCAGGTCTGAAGTTCAGTGATACAGCGCTCGTCCAGCACAGTCAAGGCCTGTGTCTGATCCCCAGCACCAGCAATCTGTGTGGGAGGGTAGTGAGTACAGGCAGAACCGGTGCTGCATCTCAAATATTCCGACGCCCTGATCTTTGCCTTTTACTCTCCAGCTTCACAAGGAAAGGCTCGGGCTCTTCCTTACCCTCAACGCCACATCCAAGCTCCAAATGAGGGCCCCCCTTCAAAAAGTCACTCACCAAGATGTGTCATGAGCTCATCTGATGTGATCACTTCCTTCTGAGCGGGCAGCTTCACCTGAAGGGAGAAGGGTGGTTGGATATGAGTTTTACTACAGCAATGACGAAGGAACACATAGAGCTTGGGGCAAACTAGGCATGGTGGCTCACCATGTAATTCCAGTATCTGGGAAGCAGAGGCAGGAGGAGCACTGTGTTGTTTTTTTTTTTTTTGTTTTGTTTATTTTGTTTTTGTTTTTTTAGCTCTGACCTTCTTACAAGCCATTCATTTCATTTCCCTTACCTCCTCAAACCCCCCCCCCTTTTTTTTTTACTGTAAGCTGGCTTACAGTATAAGACCTTGTCTCAAAACCCTTAAGAAGCAGCTGGGAGGTGGTGGCGCACACCTTTAGGCCCAGCACTGGGAGGCAGTGGCAGGGGGAGCTCTGTGAGTTTGAGGCCAGTTCAGTCTATACAGTGAGTTCCAAGCCAATCAAGGCTACATAGGGAGACTCTGCCTCAAAAAACAAAACAACAAGGCTGGAGAGAGGACTCAGAGGTTAAGAGCATTGACTTTTCTTTCCAAAGGTCTGAGTTCAATTCTCAGCAACCACATAGTGGCTCATAACCTTCTATAATAAGATCTGGTGCCCTCTTCTGGCCTGCAGACAGTATACTTTAAATAAATGAATCTATAAAGACAGAAAAACCTACAAAGCAAGCAAGCAAACAAAGGAAGCAAGAAAGACAGAAACAGAAGACCAGAGATGCAATGGGGAGAAAAGGGCTTAATGTGAGGTCAAGGGAACAGACTGGAACTACCGCCGAGCATTCCCAATGTGAGAGTAGGGAAGACAGGAGTAGAGGAGAGTGATCTGGAAATTTAGGACTGACTTAAGAAACATCAGCTGGGGGGGGGGTCAGAGAAGAGCACTCCCGGTGTTCCCTTACCCCACCCCCCAATAAAGTCTCTTTTAATGTTAGGAACATAATCGAAAACCATTTTGTGCAAGATAAGCAGCCAGCCAGAGGCAGGCCCTGATAAGTTAATGAACTCTGAAGCAACCTCAAGGAAGCACTGACTTCTCAGTGAACCAGCCCTAGGCTGTGAGCTGCAATAGCACAAAACTAATGCCTTTAATTCAGAACATGGCTGCTCTGGCAGGAGATCAGATTCAAAGACTGTCTAGGTGTGTGTGATCCGCCTGAAATACAAGCACACCTTCAATCCAGAAGACAGAGGCAAGCAGATCTGCATTCAAGATCCCCGGTGGAGAGCAAGTTTCAGGTAAAGAAAAGCTTAGTGTGGTACACTCCCTTAGGCACAAACGATGAAGGTAAAATTTGCAGAAGGAAGCACTCATGTTTGGAAGTGATGTCTACTTGAGTGGCAGAAATAGTGACAAGTCAGAGATTTGACAGAATAGGATATGACCAGCTCTCAAGAGAAGAGAGAGAAAAGGAAAGCTACTTAAGATACAATGCAGAGAGAAGAGGAGGCAGTTTACTGGGACAGACTAGAGAGACAGGTTTTAGAAGAGAGAGAGAGAGAACACAGGTGAAGACCGAATGAGCCAGAGAATGAGAAGGATCCAGAAGATTAGAAAAGATTGCTGGGGCTGGAGAGATGGCTCAGAGGTTAAGAGCACCGGCTGCTCTTCCAGATGGTCCTGAATTCAATTCCCAGCAGCCACTTGGTGGCTCACAACCCTCTATAATGAGATCTGGTGCCCTCTTCTGGCATGGAGGTGTGCATGCAGACAGAACATTGTATACATAAGAAATGAATAAATAAGTCTTTAAAAAAAAAAAAAAAGAAAGAAAGAAAAGAAAAGACTGCTGGAGTTAAGTTTGAAGCCAAGCAGAAAACATCAAGGGCCAAGAGTGAAGCCAGATTGAGTAAGTTAGCTGGAAGAGCAGTTTTTAGCAAGAACAGCAGAGTTGAACCAGCCAGCTTTGAGCACAGAAACAAAAGAAAGGGAGAGCTTATTCAGCAGTAAGTCTCAGAGGCTGAAAACCTTCTAGGCTTAGGTTAGATTGTATGGAGGCTAGAAGCTTCGAGGACTAGGCCTAGGTTAGCAGGAGGAGGCAGTAAGGCTCTGAGACAACAGCTGAAGTAGGCGAATGAAAGTTCTTTCTACAAATGTCCATTGGTCCTAGTGTGGCCCCTAGGATCGCACTGCCATACTCCTGGGACACAGCAGGTCAAGGCTCTGTGTTGTTACCCATCACAAGGGAACTTAGAGACTGGCCCCTGTGGGACTACTCTGGCTTCAGTGACCCTCAGGTTTCCAGCACCCATGCCCAGTTTACACCTGCCCGCCTCTCAGCACTAGCTGCTGGCTGCCAACCAATGCTCTCGAGTGCCACCCTTCTGGCCTGCCACAGGACATCATGCCCAACATGGGTTGAGCTTGAAAAAGCTCCCAAAGTGTTCTTACTGGAGGTTTCCCAGTGGAACCCTGAATCGCTGCCCAAGTAACCATCCCACACTTGGTCAGACATCCGTGTGTGAGACTGCGGTAACCTTTACATAGCATGATATTGTAAGGAATGTGTGTGTGAGTAAACCGAGCATATTTGAAAGGCAAATCTGTGGACATCTCAATTGCCCAGTGCCTCACAGCCCCCTGCTCGTGCTCTCTGGGCTCACCTTCCACTGAAGAAAGAGGATGTTCATGATGGCCAGGAGAGGACAAGGGCCATTGGTGCTCTGTGTGATGATGGGGGTCCGTTCTCCTTTCCAAGGGATCCACTTGACACAGTAGAAATCGAGATCAGGCTGTTGGGTCCTGGGGGACTGGGGAAGCGCCTGCGGCCTGGAAAACACCTCTATTGTCTCTACCTCAGATGATGTCCCACAAGCCGGCCCAGGAGGACTTGAGCTAGCTTCAGGAGGAGGACACTCAAGGTTTTCTCCATCCTGTGCTGGTGGCAAAGCTTGGTCTCTAGTCTCCTGTTCTCCAGTTTTCCCATCTGCCTCTGTACTGTCCTTGTCCTGAGGGTACTTCTCTGGTCCATTCAGGGCCTTGTGTTTTTCAGATTCAACAGTGTCTGCATTACTGGCCTTGCTAGGAGCTGAGTGTTCAGCCTGAGATTCTTCCATAGTGGGAACAGAGTCAGCTGAGGGGGATGAAGGTGTCTCTTGACCTCGGTACCTTGCCTAGGGTGATTCTAGCATGCAAAAAGACTTGGTCAGTAAGGTCATTGAGTTACAGAGCAAAGGGCACAAGAAAGGTCTGGAAGCGAACAGTGTAGACAGCCACTGTGGTTTCAGATTCAGCTTTTCTCTGCGTGCTCATTCCACCTCTAACTTGCTGTGACCAGATGGGACTAGCTGGACTTGGGCTTCCAGGCTTGGAGGGGACTGGAGACACTGGGTGGAACTGGCTTCCCTGAAACAGAAAATGATAGAGAGTGAGGGAAAGACAGAAAGGGTCTGAAGAGAGCCTCAGAGCGCTGCTGCTCTTCCAGATCTCACGAGACCCTCACAACCACCTATAACTCTATTTCCAGGGGATCCACAACCTTCCTTCTGGCACAAAATACCCACACACAAAACTAAATTAAAAAAAATTCTTTTTAAAGAAAAGACAGAAAGTAAAGGTTAAAGGTGAAGTGCAAAGCCAAGGCAGAAGGAAGAGGGCTGGAGAGAAAAATATGAAATGATCCTAAAGGGGATGGAGGTACAGCTCCAGTGTACTGATTCCCAGGCACGCGTGGCACTCTTGTTTGGCCCCTGGGTTCTCAAACAAACACGCCAATAAACAAAACCAAACAATCCTTACGGCTATTAACATGGTGATATTTAAGCTGCCTTGTCAAAGGCAACCTGTTAATTACATAAACCATATCCACTGCCAAACCTTGGCCCTTCCTAGAACATTCTGATCACACAAGCTCCTGGTATCCTCAGGAATACGATGCTCCCTGCTCATCCACAGCCCAGAGGGTAGTCATCATATGGTTTTGTGGATGGAGATGCAAGAAGGTAACACCATGTTCCTAAATTTTGTGCCAAGCTCCTGAGGAAGAAGAAATGTTGTTCCTCAAAGGACTCAGTAGTTATTTATTTTTGAGACAAGATATTGCTATGTAGCCTTGGCTGGCCTATGTGGACCAGGCTAGCCCCAAACCCAGATCTACCTGCCTGTTTCCTGAGTCTCGGACTTAGAAGTGCATGCTATCATGCCAGGGTATGGCCAGAATTCTAGGTGATACTCCTACTTCAGCCACCCATGTGCTGATGTTAGAGGCCTGGTCCATCATGCCTCATTTTCAGAAGACTTAGTTCAACTGTACAACTGTACCCAAACCAATGACAGCAAAAGATGAGGGAGAGGCTTCTTGTACAGAATGGGAAACATAGATCATGAGACTTGAATCAGTGCTGGGTAAGCCACTCTGTAACCTGGGCATCCCTGAAAGGACTGAGGCCATTGTAAAGCAGTGCTTCCAACCTTCCTAAGGAGGCCACCCTGTAAGACAGTTCCTCCTGTTGCGTGACCCTAGCCATAAGACTATTTTTATTGCTGCTTCATAGCTGTACTTTTGCTGCTGTTAGGAATTGTAATGTAAACACCGGTGTTTTCAGCTGTTCTGAAGAGACACCTCATGTCCTTCATCTCATTTATCAAGACCATTCAAACAATGGATCCCAAGCAACTGAGATTTCCCCTGGGAATCTCAAGCTGGGAGGGGAAAAACACTGACTCTTGAAGCCAGCCACAGAGGAACCTGTACCCAGGAAAAGAGATTTCACAGAGTCCTAACAACTTTTCAGGATGAGGCTAAGGTCCACACAGTGACGGGTCAACAACCGGCAGGACCACACCTTGACCTGCCTACACTGCTCAGTTGTGCAGACCCTGGCTCTCTAACTTAAACTTCACCCTTAACTTGTGACTCTGAATATGGACCTGGGGTGTTACCATATATTTTTGTTGCTAGTCCTAATGCGGCCACATTGAATAAATCTCTGCTTAATTTTTCCTGGCTTTCAATATTTAATTTTAATTTTAGTTCATTTATTTAGCGTCTGTGTGTGTACACACTTGGAGGCCACAAGGAAACTTGAACCTGGGGATCAAACTTAGGTCATCAGCAAGAGCCTTTACCAACTACGCCATTTCACTGGCTCCTACTTTTCACTATTAATTCAGCTCTTTTAATTGGCTTATTGAAGACGAGACTAACCTGGCTTGTTAGGATTGCCCAGGCACAGGCTCTGAACCTACTACTTTAGTTACGGGGCACAAAAAAGACTCCCCCTAATTCTTCCAGCAGATGGCTCTCCCCAGCTAGAGTTGACACAGCCACTCTTCAGTTTCTATTTGTTTCAGCAGTGCTTGCTCCCAGAGATAGTATCTTGCTCCGTATTTATATGGAACGGAAAACTACTGATTATTGATTTACGTTAAAATACCCCAGGGCTGGAGAGACGGCTCCATGTTAAGGGCATACTACTCTTCCAAAGGACCTAGGTTCAATTCCCACAGAGGAGTTTAGGAGGATTTGTAACTCCAGTTCCAGGAAAGCTGATTTCCTCTTCTGGCTTCATGGGCACCAAGCACATGTGGTGTACATACACAAAGGCAAACAGTCATAAATATATAGATTTATATTAATAGCCCTCCACTAGTTGTAATAGTGATAAAGACCTTTAGTTGCAGGTACTAAGGGGGCTGGGGCAGGAGGATTTTTGTGAGACCTTATCTCAAAATAAAATTTAAAAAGAAGGCCAAAGAGATGGCTTAGTGGTTAAGACCACTAGCTGATCTTCCAGAGGACCCAGGTTCAATTCCCAGGACCCACAAGGCAGCTCACACCTGTGTGTAACTCCAGCCCCAGGAGAGCTGAGACCCTCACACCAATGCACATAAAATAAAATTAAATGAATTATTAAAAAATAATAAAGTAAGCACTAGGCGCCATGGTGCACGCCTGTAATCCCAGCACTCAGGACAGCAGAGGTAGGCGGATTTCTGTGAGTTCGAGACCAGCCTGCTCTACAAAGTGAGTGCAGGACAGCCAAGGCTATACAGAGAAACCCTGTCTCAAAAACAAACAAACAAACAAACAAACAAAATGGAAAAAACCCACAAACAAACAAAAAACCAAAACTCAAAAGAGCTGGAGGTATAGCTCAGAGGTGGAACCTTGCCTGGTTCACACTAAGCCCTAGGCCCAAGCCTCACACCCGCTAGCTCGCGTGCTCTTTATGGCTCCCATACAGACCATGTTGATGTGAACACTGGACCAGTCCAACTTGCTGTGGACCCACCAAGCCTAGAGTGAGGAACAGATAGGACCACAAGGACAAGAAGCCGATTCCTGACTCTGAGATCTCTCCCTGTAGTCTTCTTACCCACTACTCATTAGTGTGGAGAAAACGGAGAGAGTCCTGGGGGTTCAGCCTAGCGAGTCGCTGGGTTTGATCCCCAGTGCCAGGAAGAAAGAAAGACAGGAGAATTTAAATCAATTAGGAATCTTGTCTTTTCTTCTTTCTTTTAAATGACTTTTGAAACTGTCGTCATTGGGCGTGGTGGCAGAGACAGATGGATCTCTGGTTGCCCCAAGGTAGCCTCAAGCTTTTGGTAAGCTTGACTCAGTTTCCCAAGTGAAGGATTTTAAGTGATTTATGACATGCCAGACCTCAACTACTGTCTCTTTTTGTTTGTTTGTTTTTTAGAGACAGGGTTTTTCCGAGTTAGCTCTGGCTGTTCTCTAACTCAGAGATCACCTGCCTCTGCCTCCAGAGTGCTGGGATTACAGGCGTGCACCCCAGGTAATTCTAGTCTTTTGTCCAGCTTCCTCCTCATGTGTTTTCTTCTTGTAAACCTTCAGGACTTGGGGGCTGGGAGAAGGCTGGAGGAACAGGAGTGACAGCTAGGTGTCTCAGGCCTGCCCATCCTGGCTTCTGGGGTGAGGGCGGGGTGAGGGTGGGGTGAGGGTGGGGTGAGGGTGGGGTGAGGGTGGGGTGGGGAGTACCCATGACTTAAGGCTTGAGGGCTCTGATTTCAAGGTCTGTCTGGGCTACAGAGAAACATCAACGTTACTGAAATAACCTAAGTCTAGTCACTGAAACTGATCATTCTCCTGATTCAGGTACATTCTGTGCTGGATGCAGATAACTTACACTTTGTTAATTTAGAATCAGAGTAGCAAAAACTACCTGCAGGCCTTCCACCTTTTTTCCTCTCTCTCTCTCCACATCTCTTGCCCTCCACGGCACTTAGGGTGAACCTTGAAACAGAGGCCACGCCTGGGAAATATTAAAAAGGCCAAAGACAAGCATGGCTCATTTTCTGCCCAAGGCTAGAAATGATCAATAACTAAGCGGGGGCTGGAAAAGCTAGCCAACCAAAGAAAGAAGCTACAAGAAGCCACTGGAGGGTGTGGGGTGGAGAAAGTGGGGGGGCAGGGCAGGAAGGGTAACTGAGAGCTGCAACCAAAAAGGTAAAGTATGAGGGGAGGGCACCCAAACAAACTGGAGCTTCAGCCTGGTCCCTCCTTTTTTCTTTCTTTCTTTCTTTCTTTCTTTCTTTCTTTCTTTCTTTCTTTCTTTCTTTCTTTCTTTTTCTTTTTCTTTTTTCTTTTTTTTTCTGTTTGTCTTCTTCAGTCCAAATCCCACACTTCCTTTCTACCTGGAATTAGTTATGGGGACAGGCGAGGGAGTCACAAAACTCTGGTGCTTTCCTGGTCAGCGGCTGATACTATTTATTTGGCAGTGAAAGAAACATTAAATAGGTATGCATGCAGCTTCAAGGAGACATCAAGCTTTCAGGGCACGGTGGCACACCCCTGTAATCCCAGCACTCGGGGAGGCAGAGGCAGAGGCAGGTGGATCTCTGTGAGTTAGAGGCCAGTCTGGTCTACAAAGCGAATCCTGGACAGCCAAGGCTACACAGAGAAACCCTGTCTCGAAAAGCAAAACAAACAAACAAAGACATCACCCACCCTCAAGACCCTTCTTCTCCCCTCAAGTCCTTTACTGCTGTTACCCCACCTTCTTAGCTGAATGCTAATCTCCATACCAACAACGCTCTGAGACGCCTCTAGAATAAGGCGAACAGTTCTTTCTCTCAAGGAGAGGGAGAGGGTTTGTTGACAATGGGGTAAGGAAGGGACCGCCTCGCTTTCACTGGGATTCTATAAGCGACCACAGACGGGACATCAGGTGTCACCCCCTCCCCCCGGGAGAGGGAGAGGAAGAGGAGAGCCGGGAGACGAGGTGAAGAAGATAGTTTGAAAACAAAGTTTTTACCTTCAAGAGGTGGGTGCGGTTCCCGCACCGGGAGAGGACTCAATTCTGGTGGTTCGACGCGGGAGGAGGGGACATGGCCGGGGGGGCGCCAGCTGCCTCCCAGCTGTCAGCCCCGGAGCTTACACGGCTTGACACGGCTTGGCTTGCGCGGCGCCCAGCCTGGGTCGCGGCCTCTGGGGGACGGGGACAGCGCCGCGGGCGCCGGGGACGGTGGGGGGCAAGGGCAGGCGGCGCGCAGCCCCGGCGGTCCCCGGCCTCCCGGCGTCCGCACGATCCCCGAGCCACCGAGCCTCCGGCGTGCGCGCCAGGCCCTGTCTACAGAGCCGCTTCCAGAGGAAGTTTGTGGCTTTTCCTCCTCTTCTTTCCCTCGGTCGGGACAAAGACAAGTCAGCCAAGGACGAGGTCCCCGGAGGCCGGGCACGGGGAGGGGCCTGCTCGGCCGCGCAGGGGGCCCGGCGGGGCTGTCCGAGCCGGTCAGCGGCCCGGCGAGCGGCGGAAAGGAGGAGGGAAAAACAGCAGAGCCTCCCTCCGCCCGCCGCGGGAAGGGACGGGGCGCGTGGGCCTCTCTGGCGAGAACCCGGAGCAGCAGGGCGGGACGGCAGCAGCCGGCTAGACCTCCCCGGACGCCCGCGGCAGTCCTCCGCTCTGGAGCCACGCAAGCAAGGCGAAAGAGCATCGCGTCTGAATACTGACTCCTTTAATGGGAAGGGGAAACCCCGCTCCTGTTTTTCTGGAGCCCCAGAGGGTTCCTAACCAAGCCTTCCCTTTCTCCCTGTATCTTTTCTTTTTTAAGGCTAGAAATGAAACTTATTGATCTTTGTACCTGGTAATACGTCAAGGGTGAGAAAGACACTCTTGCCTCCTCTCACCTCCCTGAGAAGCAGGAAAACCTGGGGATAGATTAAAAAATGAGGAGACATGTTATGCTGAAGGCACCCCCCCCCCCCCCCAGTCGTCTGTGCTGGGACTCGCAAGTGGCAGTTAAGGGATGTTGGAACCTAGCCTTACATTCTGAAGGCTCCTCTAGACTCCATTGACGTGGCTGCCCCTGGATGAGACTTCTTCAAGCAGCTCGGAAAGCTGAGAGACCCAGGAAGCCAAGTCACGTTTGCAACAATCCAAGAATGGAGTGAGGAGATATTTGCTCAGGCTGTAGGAGAAAAGAGGCAACGGAGTTATGAAGAAGCAGGAAGAGTTGGCAGGACTGTAGCTTTTAAGAAGATGGGTAAAAGATTATGCTAATGTTTTCCTGGAATGATCAAACACATCATTGATTAAATAGGTCAGTTTGGTAAAGGGGAGAATTAAAAAAAGAGAAAAAAATAAAACACCTAACATGGGAAGCTATTTTAATAAGATGTAGAGCCATGTTGTAATTTAAAGTCCCAACCAAACCAGGCCTGTGAATCCAGCATTGATTCAGGAAGCCAAGGAAAAAGATTATAAATTCCAGACTAGTTTGGGCTACATAGTAGGACGTTGTATAAAATTTTTTTTGAGAAGTTAATGTACATTAATTTCAAACAGATGTTCTGTGTAATATATGGAAAGATAAGTCCTGTCTGAAAGAGCAAGTTCAGATGCCATAAAGGAGAGTAATTGTGACACATGAACAATTTGTCATAGCACCCTGTAAACTCACTTAGGGAACCCTTACGAGCTTCTGGACTACATCTCCCAGGAGGTACCGCAACATGCTCCTCCTTAACCTCCCATGAGTCTCTGGGCTCAGAACTCAGCCTCCGCCACTGGGGGCGGAGTAACGCCGGAGTGCCGAATTACGCACTTCCTCCCGGGGTTCGGAGGCCGAACCCTTGTGTAAGGGGTTCGAGTCCCGCCCCCTGACTCTCGGCTCTAAACCCTGAGTCTGGGGCGGGGTACGTTCGGCCGGGTTAGCTCTCCTCGCCGAGGGGCAGCGGCACACCTCGGGCTTCACCATGGAGAACTACCTGCAGGACTGTCGAGCCGCTTTGCAGGTAACGGGTCTCGGTCTGTGACCCAAAGGAATGCAGCGTGGGGTCCGGGAAGGACGGAGGTGTGGGGTCTGGGGAGCCCGGACGGTCGGCGTGGAGGGATCGCGGAGGTGGACGCGGGGAGCTGGGGAACCAAAGCCTTCGCCCATGGGCGGGAGAGCCGGGAGAAGTGAGTGTCCTTTCGGCCGCCAGCCTCGCCCGCCCGGCGAGGTGTGTCTGTCCCTTTCTCCCCGCCCCTCTGTCCCTCGGCAAACAGGGCTTCAGCCCGCTGGCCTCGGGGTGAACCTCGGGATGGAGAGGGCACCTGGGTGCAGGGCTTTATTGCCTCTGATGGCGATTTGCCCCCCCCCCCCCCCCCCCCCCCGGGCGGTCATAGTGTTTTACTTTAAATTTTTTTTTACGCCAACAAACAGAATAATGCCTCAGGCATATGTGTTGACCCACAACTTACCTTCCTTTGCTTCCAGTGTTCTCCTTCGGTATTAACACACAAACACGCACACGCAAATCCGTACAAATACTCTCCCCTTGGTGAGGGGTAAATACAAAGTGTGTGGACTCTAAACCATAGGCTCAGCCCCTGGATTCTCTGTAGCTTATTTTCAGTGCTTCGGAGCCAGCTGGGCTCACCCAGCCACGCTGACAAGCTGTGCTGTCCGCAGTTCCCGTTAGAGGCTCCAGGTCACCTGGCCCCCGCTGTGAATGTCTCTGCCCCTGTAGAAACCGAGACAGATGGCTGTCTTCCTTTAAAATAACTTAGCTGGGTGTGGTAGCCGCATGCCTCTAGTTCCAGCACTTGGGAGGACAAGGCTGTACGCTCACCAGTTCAGGCCAGTTCTGGGATGAAAAATAAAATAAAACAAAACCCTCAAAGAAACCACACCGAACCAAACCTCACAAAAATAGAACAAAACTTAAAGTTCCTTGTTAAAGACTGTGGTCTTTCACACACCTTGAAAGTCTCCTAACTCTGCAGTAGCTTTGGCTGCAGGGCTAAACAAATATTCTTAATTTGAATTTGGGGTGAGGTTCAAATTGATGCCAGCTACACCAAAAATTTCATTTTGGAAGACATCTTGCCAGGCATGGTGCTGCATACCTGTAATCTTAGCCCTGGATAGGTTGAGGCAAATATATATACATATCTGTATATATGTATGTGTGTGTGTGCATATTTATAGCAGTTAAAGTGCAGCCTGGGCTACAGACTGAGGCCTCATAACTCCCCTGAGGTAAAAAAAAAAAAAAAAAAAAAAAAAAAACCACCATACTTTTTGGAAATTGTTTTAATTTGGAACCAATTCTCATTGGTTCTTTTCCTGTGGGATTCTCCTGCCTCCATCCCCCAGTGCCAGTTAAGAATGCTATCACTCTTGGCCTGAGGTCTGCCTATGTTGTTTTACTTTTCAGTGTGTGTTTTTGAGATGGTCTTTTATGGCCCAGGCTGGCCATGAAGTCCCAATGTAGCCAAGGTCAACCTTGAACTTTTGGTTTTTCTGTGTTGGGATTATAGGAGTCTACTGCAATGCCCAGTTTAGCTATCTTTTTTTTTTAATTTTTAAATTTTCATTTAATTTTCATTTAAATGAGTCAGGGTCTCACTATGTAGCCCTAGCTGGCTTGGAACTATGTAGCTTAGACTAGTCTCAAGCCAGGGATCTTTCTGCCTCTGGGATTAAAGGCCCTTTAAAATGTTTTTTTCTTTTTTGTGATCTGTATATGTATGTATTTGTACATTTAAGTGCAGTGTCCATGGAATGCAGAAGAGGACATTGGATCCCCTGGGACTTCAGTTACAGGTGGTTGTGAGTTTCCTGACGTGGTCGCTAAATCCTTTGGAATATCAGTATGGGTTCTTAATCACGGAACCATTTCTGTAACCCCTAAAGAATTGTTAGATTAAGCTTTATTTATTTATTTGTTTATGGGTGTGTTGGGAGCCTCACCATGCAATGGATACATGTGGAGGTCAGAGGAAACATTATTTATTTGTTTATTTGTTTATTTGTTTACGGGTGTGTTGGGAGCCTCACCATGCAGTGGATACATGTGCAGGTCAGAGGAAACATTCTCCATGTTCTCCGTTCACCAAGTGGGCACCATGGATCAAATTCAGGTTTTTATGTTTGGTGGAAAATGCCTGTGTCTGCTGAACCATCTGCTCTCTCCCCCTCTCTGCCTTCCTCTTTCTTTTTCTCTCTCCACGAAACAATAGTTTTGTTTTGTTTTTTAAATCATGGCATCTTCACTCACACACACACACTCACACACACTCTGTTAGACTTTATTCTCATTTGTTCCCCTTTCCTAGCTCTTGTTTCCTGAGATAGTATCTTGCTCTATAGCTTAGGCTAGCCTGGGACTTTTGTCTTGGTCTTTTTGCCTCAGCCTCCCAAGTACAAGAGGGCATCAGAACCCATTATAGATGGTGTGAGCCTCCATGGGGGTGTTGGGATGTGAAATCAGGACTTCTGGAAGAGTAGTCTGTTCTCTTAACCATGTAGCCCATCTCTCTCCAGTCTGGAGAGTTGTTTTTTTTTTTTTTTTTAAGGCTTATTTTTGGGAGCTGGAGAGGTGGCTCAGCAGCAGTTAAGAGCATTGGCTGTTCTTCCAGAGGACTCTGGTTCAATTCCCAGCACCCACATGGCATGTCACAACTGTCTTGGTCTGTCACTCAAATTTCAGTGGATCCGACTGCCTCACACAGATGGATATGTGTGCCAAACACCAAGTATGCATAAAAATAAATACATTTTAAAAAAGAATTATTTTTGAAGATTTTGGAAAAAATTCTAATGTTTAAATTATTTGTGTTTGTACGTGTGAGTGCAGGTGCCACATAACCTGTGGAGCTGAAATTACAGGAGGTTGTGAGCAATCCAATGTAGGTGCTAGAAACGGAACTTGGTCCTTTTCGAGAGTAGTAAGCGCTTTTAACTGATGAGCCATCTTTTCAGCCCCTTAATATTTCTTTATGTGTGTGTGTGTGTGTGTGTGTGTGTACGTGTGTGTGTGTGTGTGTGTGTGTGTACGTGCGTCCATGTGTGCGTGCTTGTGTCGAGGAGGCCAGAAGAGGGTATTGAGTCCCTGGAACTGGAGTTACAGGCAGTTGTGAGCCACGTGACTTGGGTCCTTGGAACAAAATTTCTGTTCTCTGGGAGAGCAGCAAGGACAATTAACTGCCGTATCTCCCAGTGCTAATGGAGAGTGTTTAGGGCGTCATTCTGAGTGCTATCCTGTTGGGAGTTTTTCAGCTTCATGTAAATACTTGTTCTCTTTTCCACTATTTAGTGAAAAGCCTTTGGACCTGAAAACTGACCCAAAAGCACGAATCATCTCTCCAGCACTTACCCTCCACACTATTCTCCCCCAGATAACAGTCTTCTACAATATTATGAAGGTTGGCAAGAGATCAAATCTACTGTAATACTTTTCCAGTATCACACTATCCCAGTTCTCCAAATTCCTCCTCCAAGGAGTGAAAGCTAGCTCCTTTGTGAGGCTGTGTGCTCCCCTCCTGAAGGAGCCTTAGAATCTTGTCAGCACAAGCCTCACTAGTCCAGAGAGTAAATGGAATATGCAACTCTAAGAATGTTAGCTGAGAAGGCAGCAGCAGTATATGCTGGGGGGGGGGGGTAATTTTCACTCTTTTTAATTATAGAACTATTACATAAGGAAAACATTGAAGCACAAAACATATGAAGTGGAAAAGATAAGGCCTTTTTTTCCTTCCTTTCCATCCAGTTACCCCAGAATCTGTTAATGTTTCCTTTTTTAAGAGAAATATATGCGTATGTGTGTATATGTGTATACACATATCTTTGAGTATCCTTTTGTGGGGATGTGTGGGGTATGGGAGGTTGTATCTGTGAGCATCCGCCACACGAACCCTCAGAGTTGTGTGTGTGTGTGTGTGTGTGTGTGTGTGTGTGTGTGTGTATCTGTGAGTGTCCGTGTGTGTGTGTGTGTATCTGTGAGTGTCCGTGTGTGTGTGTGTGTGTGTGTGTGTGTGTGTGTATCTGTGAGTGTCCGTGCATGTGTGTATGTGTGTATCTGTGAGTGTCTGCCTCAGAATTCAGAAGAGGGTTTTAGTAAGTCCCTGGAGCTAGAATCACAAGCTGTTGTGCCACCCCATGTGGGTGCTAGGAGCTGCTGAGCTCTTTCTCCAGCCTCCAGCTAATGTTTCTTGTATGAAGAGAGCCTAACCCGAGCCTGTCTACATAGCACATTCCAGGAGGTCAGGGACTATGTAGAGAGGCCCAGTCTCAAACAAGCGAGAGCTTGTTTGGAGTCTGCAGCAGAAGGGTACAGCTCCGTGTGTACCCTGACCAAAGAGCAGTCTTCTGATAGGGAGTGTTGTTGTCTTCAGGGCAGGTGCATCTTCAGGAGGCATGTACCTGGGCGGGTAGAGGAGGAAGCTGGACATTGGCCTAGCAGGATGGATCAGCAGACTCAGTCCTGGTGATCAGTCCTGGCAGCTGTCTCAGCCAGATAACCCTCACACCTGCCAGTGTAGAAAGAGACCAGATTCAAACAGTCATACCATTAAGTGACTGTGAGCTGTGAGCACTTGGATTTACACAGGACAGGAACAGCTGATAATAGCCAGTTCTGCTGCAAGACTGTATTTTTAGCATGTGATACTAGAGAACTTTTCTGTAGTCTCTTCTGTATAACTGTAGAATGTTCTGCTGAAAAGTCTGCAGATTTGAGCTTGGTGGCAGAGGTTGAGGTGGGAAGAGCTCAAGTTAGGGGTCAGCCTGGACTACAGAGGAGGTTCCAGGCCAGCCTGGCATGTGTGGGAAAAACCAGAAAGGACCTGGTTACGGTGGCGCACGCCTTTTGTCCCAGCACTGAGGCCTAGTCTACATAGTGAGTTCCAGGACACCCAGAGATACCTAGTGAGACTTTGTCTTGAAAACAAAACCAAAAACAAACAACAACAAAAACAAAGGAAGGGAAAGAGGGAGAAAGTTTGTTTTTTTATGGACTCCTATCCCTTC